GCCCCGCGTCCTTTCTGCGACTCCTGGTGCAGCGACGAAGGCTTGGGCATACGGACCGTGGGCTCCGTGCCAGCGCTCTTTTTTGTCCCGGATTGGCACCTTACAGCTTGTGATCCAGCAGGCAATTAATTAGAAGTTGTGTGAATTACTTATTAATTGTATTTATTCTTTTTCTGTCTTTTGCCTTGCAGACCAGAATCTGTAGAAGCTAGCCCTGTGGTAGTTGAAAAATCGAACAGTTATCCACACCAGTTGTATACCAGCAGCTCGCATTCACACAGTTACATTGGTTTGCCCTATGCAGTAAGTTTTCATGCTAAGTATTCTGTATAAAATAGATTATGTAAAATCTGTTGTTCTTAACTGAAAAAGCTCTGATTCATGCTTACATTTTTTTGTATCTTATGGGGAGTTGGGTAAGTGGACTAAAGATGGTTGATTAGAAGCAGATTAAAGAACATAGTGCATTTATATGTAAAACATAGTTGAGGAGATAAAAAACCAAATAACCAATTGGCTTAAATAACCATCAGTGTATGAATATTTACTTTGGCTTAAATAACCATCAGTGTATGAACATTTAAGAGCTGTAACTTATCTTTCAACAAAAATCTAGGACCATAACTATGGTGCTCGGCCTCCTCCAACGCCTCCAGCTTCTCCTCCTCCATCAGTGCTTATAAGCAAGAATGAAGTAGGCATATTTACCACTCCCAACTTTGATGAAACCTCCAGTGCTACTACCATCAGTACCTCAGAGGATGGAAGCTATGGAACTGATATTACCAGATGCATTTGTGGCTTTACGCATGATGATGGATATATGATTTGTTGTGACAAATGCAGGTAATGAATATTAAATTCATTTGAAAGGTAACAATTACTTGAAACTTCAAGCTGCTCTGAAAGTAACTAAGTGGTGTTTTAATTATGTTCAGCCATAGGAAATTTCTTTCCATCAAAACAGTGTTTGAAGGTTGTATGGCTTTCTGATAGGTGAGGTTACTGGTTAAGGCCAGTGAGTATTTTATGCTTTATTCCAGTCTGTTGTGACTACTCATTAATTTGTTCATACCTTAACTTGTGCGTTGTTATTTCGTAAGGGTGTATCTTTCCCCTCTAAAAAGGATATCTCTTTGGTAGTCAAGTTATTTGTTAGCATAGTGAAGTAAAAGACCTAGGGTTTGGTTCTTAATATGTATGTACTGCGTAATAAAGCATCTTGGTAAATTACGTATATGTAAATGAAATGAATTGCAGGGTGTGAAATAATTTGAAAGAAACTTCTCAAATATTGGTTCTTCTGTGTGTGATTTTTCTGATAACTTAATTTTCAAAGGCCACAGTTTTAAGAGTTTTAATAAGTATGAAACGACTAACAGATTCTTACTGGAGAAGCTGAAGTTTAAACTTCTGTGCTTATGCTTAAGCACCTACTTGGTCATAGCAAAATAAGCAGGTGCTATTAAGTATTTGAAAAAATGAGCTTAGAAAAATGGGCTGATATACTTAAGACAAATCTCATGTTTCTGGACCTACTCAGTATTAGCTTGTATTTTTATATTCAATACGCTTAACATGCTGCTGAACTTATTAGGTCATTGTGTGTTTCTAAAATGATTGTTACGGCTGATTAAAATGTTAATTTGAGCTCTTTTCTTCTGTCAGCTTACGTAACAAGCTTGGGTTTTTTTTATATAACCTTTTCCCTTATTTTGAAATGTATTTAGATGTTCTTTCAGCAGTGGAGCTGTAGGCAGTCTGCTTCTTTTGAACAAGAGATTCTCTGTGAGGAGTTGGAGAGAGTTGTGATAAAGAAGTGGGGAAATAACTATTTCTGTGTCCCAATTCCTTCTAGCAGTGTGGGGATGAGCATAAACTGCTGTCCTAGGTTAGCCTTCAGTCAAGCGAGCAGACTCTCTTCCATGACTCTGGGAAGCACTTAAAGCTCTTCCTATGCTGCACAACAGTGCTACCAGTCACGTGGGGGACGGGGAGTATAAAAACTAAGTAAAATCATATACTTTGCAGATCTATATTTATCAAATATGTATTGATATATACTGTACTTGTATATTCATATTATAGACAACTATACTAGTGAAATAAAAATAATATTTAATGTGTATAGTTATAATAGGAAATTGAATCCTTTTGTCTAAAACCAAAAATCTTGTTACTATGTAAAGCATAAGTCTTGTTGCAGAGGGAATTTGTTTCTATCATGTTCTCTATTGTGATAATTTACCATTTTGTATTTTCAGTTTAGAGAAAAATTTCCAAGAGGGAAAATGAGTCTAAAGGAGCAGAGAGACACCGGGAGACAGCCACAAGCTTGGAATTACAGTGATCAGTGGAATAGAAAATCAGCTAGCAGAGTGGTGGTGAAGACAGTGATTGAGATGTAGTTTTAGGCAGTATTGAGTCTGAGTAAAGATCATGATGAAAAGAATGGCTTGCTCTCTTGTGTGTGGTCTGTATTTATTATGCACGTAATTTTAAAAATTGCACTTAAAATGGTTTCTTTTTGTTTTTTTTTTTTTTTTCCTGAAGTGTCTGGCAGCACATTGACTGCATGGGGATTGACAGGCAGCATATCCCTGACATATACCTGTGTGAACGTTGTCAACCAAGGTGAGTAGTTCGCTTGATTTTGAACTCTAGATTGAGTAGAGACTATAGAAAGAGAAGGTACTGGAACAACCAACAGATGAAACATAGACCATGTAGGCCATGTACCATAACCCCCCAACCTGAAGTCGTATCACATGGCAAGGGCAGGGGCATTTTGTTCTCACTGTGTTGTAGGTAGATCATATCTGACTGTCGTCATAGTTGTCCTGTGATGTAGAGTGTGAAATGCTATGTGTTACTTCAGAGAGTTAGTTAATCTGAATAAAAGCCATGCATGTTCAGAACATTTTAAGTACCAATAAATGATTCTTTTGAGGAATCTGAATTGTATCGTGATAATTGTTTTGAAGAATCTGTCGGAACAATATTTAGTGCCTGCTTATCTGTAATCCATGGATCAACTGTCAGTCTTATTTCTGAGCTATCAAATCTTGATGTGTTTTCAAGTGATTTGGATACTTGTATGTGCTTTGCAGTAAAAGGCAATGGAACAGAGCACAGCTGGTGTGTTTCTAAGTATCTGCATGTTCAGCTAGTATACTATTCCATCATAGTGAACGGAGAGCAGTAACTATGAAAAGGTCTGTTTCAATACTTGGATGTATTGATGCATGTGAAGAATGGAATAAAATTTATTTTTCAATTTCAGGAGTTTAGATAAAGAAAGGGCAGTGCTGATGCAACGAAGGAAAAGGGAAAATATGTCAGGTGAGTAAAGCTTAAAGGTTATTTCCTTTGCAAAGGTTATAACACAAGTATGTATCAGCTGTTTACTTACAGCCTTCAGCATATCAGGTTCAGTAGATCAATGCCTTTTACTTTACTTTATCATTACTAAGATAACATTATGTCAGGGTTGTCACCGCTGCCTTTTTTCTTATCGTTGTGGAATTATTGAATCTGTTAGGACATGGTTAAAGTTTCATAATAATGAATGTAGCTTTTATAATAACCAGACTACTTTGAATAAGCTACTGAAGGTACGATGGAAAAGGTTCAGGTTTCTTCTGCAGTAAGAGAGGCTTTCTGAGCCTACTTTCATTACAGAAAAAAATTACTTCACATCTGTCGGTTTACCTTCATAGTATAGACTACTTATATCTTCATAGTAACTGTTCCACTGCAGGTGATACTCCTGTCCCTGAGAATCACATAATAAAGATTTAAAACAAGCTAGCATAGTTTTGAGAGGGAAGCCTAATTCAGATTTGTTGGCTGTAACTGTATTACTTAGGTAATAGAATTATATGATGGTTTTTGTATATCTAAGTTTTTATGGCCTTTGATAACTAGGTGAGGCTTGAGGTGCAAGTACCTCTTTCAGTGTCTGTATTTTATGAAATAAGCTCTCCTACCTCTCTAGAATTTCAAAACTCAGTTGGTGTAACTTCTCAGGAGTACTGTCCAGCCATTACCAAAATATCACGTGTTTCTTGATTGACAGGTGATACTTTCAAGCTCTTTTACAACAGTCATAATTTGGGAGGAAGTCATCCTCCTAAATTGAACATGTTTTACTTCCAAACCATATCTCTGAAGCACTGGGGTATGTGCAAGTGTGTGTGTGTGAGGATTTCTTTAAAAATACCATGTAGGTAAGGTCCTGCTGCCTGTTTCACACACCTTCAGAAAACTCAGAAGTGCGTGATGTGGCCTTGGAGTGTGTTTTTCTTAATAGTGCTGCTTGGTGCGGCACAGACTTTGCTGTCCAGTGCTAAGCTGCCTTCAGTCCCCTGAAGGCATTAATGACTTCTTCAGAACACCACCATCAGTTTTCGTTTTGTCTGTTTTCATTTTAACAAAACCAGACTGACTTTGTAAAGTTTGGTTGACCTGCTAGATAGCAAAAATTAAATTCTAAAAAAAATTTGCACCTATTCTGTTAAAATAATAGGACAGGTATGTTTATGATTCATATAGAGTTACTGTGTTCGTGAAGAATGAACTTGAATTTACATACAGAGTAGGGGAAGTTGGTGGTCTGAGCCATTTCGGTCATCTCTTAGGGTTTGCAGTCATGCTATCTGATCATTTACTGTAACCTTAAGGGAAGAGAGAGTCAGAATCTTAGCAGGAGCGGAAGAGATTTTTGCTTTTGAAGGTAGTGTTCAGCCCTCCTTAATCCTGATGATCAGTCTTTTAAATCTGTTCCGTGCATTCAGTAGGAAAATAAATAACAACATGGTAAATCTTTAGTAGTAATGCAGAGTAAAAACAAAGATAAATTCTAATCCTGTTTAGTCTAAGACTCAACTGAAGTGCAGTGTTAATCACTGTAATTTATAATACATGACTTGAATGTATTCTTGCATCTCTAGTTAATTTTCATTTGGCCAATACAGTTGCTTGGCTAAATGCTTTTTTTGTATGTTGACTGGTAGTACGTGGTTCAGTCAGACTTAAAGTAATTGTGTATGAACTGTCTACCAAGACATTAGTTAAAATGGCCAATTTTCATAGATTATTCATGTAGGAAAAGCAAAAGTAGCATCAGTCTGAATGTATCTATTAAATGTTCTAAGTATTGAACAGCAGCATAATGTTACAGGTAACTTAGTAGTAACTTGGAGGTGTTTGCTTAACAGCAAGATTGCATTTGGATGTAAGATCATTGGGATATTCTTTGAGCAAGTATATATTTAGGGCCTTTTTTAAGGCTTATGTGTAATAGGGCTTTTCATTTAGATATGAGAATAATGTTTTTCATTGTAAAGATTTCTAAAGAGTTGCAGCTTTAGTTAGCTGTGTTGCATCCAAAGCTAAACAGTGGGGAGCAAGTAGCAGATCAGTTGGTTTGCCTCAGGAAAAGAGCTTTTAAGTGAAAATTTCACATGATACAAAATTTGTTGAGCATCTTAAACTTTTATGCATAACCACATCACCTTTGTTCCTGGCAACGTTTATAACCTATTGTTCTGGGGCCTATGGTGCTGGTGTTGGTTTTGTTGTTCTGGGATGAAAGTGTATGTTCTGGTGTAAAAATGTATTTCTGATGCCGCTTACTGTGCATTGGATTGCGTACTGTGCTTCAGTGGAGTGAGCAGCTTTGCTAAGCCCTTAGTTGTATCCTGGATGCTTTGGAGTTGTTTTTATTGGTGGTGGACGTGCATTCTTTGTTTAGATAGAGTATCTAGAGGTGTAACTGGTTCAGGCCGTCTGATCTTGACATTGGTGCTGATGAAATCACTTGCTGCTTGCGGGGAAATGAGTCTGGGTCTGTAACTTGTGAAATTTGGAGAGTTTGTATCTTGCCTTCCAAGATGCAAAATCTTCCCCTTAGTGTGCTTTACTAAGGCTCTCCAAAGTGAAAGCAGGTTTTGTAAGTTAGGAAGGAGTGTCTCAAAACAACTCTCTGTAATTACATGTTTAGTTGAGGTAATTATTCTTTACAGTAAGTTAGGGCACAGTGTAGACAACAACATTGAAATGCTGCTGCCCTAAGGAAGACAGTGTTTTGTGGGGTTGGGAGGGGGTGGGTGAGAGGCTGTGACATAATGATTATGTAGCATTAGTGTATGGACTACATACATCGACAATTTCAAGAGGGCCTTGGATTTTCATTTCTCAGTTGTTATTGTGCTATTCATTCTTCTTTGACTAGACTTTTCTGCTTTCTGTGTTTGTTAATGCTAGTTCAAAAAACAATCCCAGCAGAGGTGTAAACAAATTCGGAAGACCTCATTGGCTCCTAATATATTAAGTCTAACTATGTACCTAATAAATTGTTGACAAGAACAACCAAGATGATAAAATTGGATTGTTTACTATGCACAGAAGAACCATGTTAAGGAATGTTGTGAGCAAGAAAAATCCAGAGTAACCAGTAGCTGGAGTTCTTTATTTAGTAAAGAAGGTTTCAAGAATTAGGATTGAGTGCACAGATTAAGGCAACATCCTTCTGAGCTCAGAAGGAATGTTTTCTCGGCTCTTACTAAGTCTGTGTAAAGCCTGCTTCTGTATGGTTTCAGAAAAAAGTCTTGCTTAGGGTGAAATATATTTACTGGAGGCAGAATATTTGGAAAAGCTGTTAAAATCCAAGGAGTCTGTACTGAGCACATGTGAACAGCAGTCTCCTATCTACATGCACCATCTCTCTTCCAATCCTCCCCATACTTCACAGCCTTTCATCTTGACAGAACTAGGGTAATCCTGTTTCAGGTCAGGAAGTGTATTTGTCTAACATCAGTGCTGATGTATGCTAAATTTCAGGCTTTGGCTTTTAGGTCTGTGAGTGCACAACACAAAGAAAAAATATCTGTCGGTTTGTGTGTGATCTTGTTTCAGCCAGGAAAAGAGACTCTTCCCAGAGTAGCAGAGTGTTATTGTTGGGGGATTTTGAGGAGAGAAGGCTTTCTGCTGAACTGACATATTTACCCATTTGACACTGCAAATTGCAGCTGAAATGGTTGATTACAACTTACATGTGACTGATTAATAAGCCTGCACAGGAAATGCTGGGCAGTCATTAATTTTAGCCTCCTCTGGAACACAGTCATCTGGGAGAATCCTAAAGCCATATTACAAGTAAAAGCTATATATAAGGGAATGAGTTAAGTAATACATTTTTTTACCATTTTTGGTCTGGTTCTAATTTTCCTTATGATGGAATTTTCAAAGAGTGGAATTAAACTGGTACCTTTTTCTCACCTGGCATTACAAACATCTGTTATTTACCAGCTTCTCATTGGTCACTCATTTTCATGCTGTTGCAACTGTTGGTGAACTTTGCATGTGGGTGCTTGAAGCATTTGTCAATACACATTTTTGGTTTTTTTAAAACACGTGTAGAGTAACTAGTGAATGTTCTTTCCACAGTATTTGATTGTTTACAGAATGTTCTTTGTTTTAAAGATGGGGATACCAGCGCAACAGAGAGTGGTGATGAGGTTCCTGTGGAACTGTATACTGCTTTTCAACATACACCAACTACAATTACTTTAACTGCTACAAGAGTTACAAAAGTCAATGATAAAAAAAGGAAAAAAAGTGGAGAGAAAGAACAGAACATAGCTAAATGTAAAAAAGTAAGTGAATGTAATTTCTCCTTGTGTAACTCTGTGCTGTAAATTATAGCTGTGTGACCTGTATTTCTTATCAGGAGACACTGATTTTAAAAATCAGGCTATTTTACTACCTGTGTTAGATTGAAATGTAATACTCTGCAGTAAATGATACGGTCTTCACTGCCTTCCCACCCCCCAATTTAGGTTAACATGTACTAGCCATGGAAGTTCAACTTTGTAATCGAGGCAGAATTTGTAAGGAGGAATTGCATGTACTGGACCACTTGATACTGTTAAGAGGTGGTGCAGAATAGGCTTTGGATACCCAAAAAACAATTTTGTGTCGGGCAGTGTTCAGTTGTGGTGGTTTTAAGTTCAGAAACATTTGCTGTCAGCTGTCCTGGCGTGACTTCATGTCCGTTTATTTGAGTTGAAATTGTGTGAAAGTGTGCTGTCAGAAGGTTAGCTATTAAACTGCTCTGGTAAACAGGATATTGGCATTATTCTGTTTAGCTACACGTGTAAACAATATATGTGAAGACACATATGTGTGAAGTAGTAAAACACATGGAATTCCTAAACTGAGTACCTTTCTACTGTTTAGTTTCACTGGCTTGGATGAGAATGTTGTCCTTTAGAAATAGAAGTCAGAATTATTTACCAGATATTTTTGTAAGTCTTGAGTAAAATGTTTCCTTTTGCATGAATGGTTCTTAATATAAATTTACTATCACATATTCTTCTGTTATCTCCCAGCATTGTGTGAAATGATTTAAAGAATGAGGGTTTGTTGTAGAATGACAAACTTCTTTGAAAAGTTAACATTGTAGGACATCTGTGACACCTGCTTCCCCCTCCCCTCTTTCCACAAATAGTGTAGTGAAGGATGTGGGCAGTTTACAGATTTACCTTGAGGTATGGGGTGTAAGTAACTTTTCGGTTACTCTGCCTTGAATTCTGAAATTCTAGAGAGTCCTATTGTAATATGAGAGAAAGGTATGTTTTATTTAGAATGTTCCACATAGAAAAGCTGTTAATTTATGAATGGATTGGAAATTCCATAAGAGATTTTGTATTTCCTGCAGAGAATATATATATCTATTTTTGTTTCAGGCATTTCGAGAAGGATCCAGGAAATCTTCACGAGTGAAGGTAGTGTGATTTTGTTTGGTTTTTGTTTTAAAACTTAATTGTATATTACTTAAATAATACGGAGCATCAAGAGTGCAATTAGGGCTGTACATTCAGCACTGAAATATTCTTGATAACTAATGTACTACATATGCATCATAGTAATCCTAATTTAAGATGTAAGCTCTACATATTTAATGTCCTTCAAAGCTAACCGAAATAATACAGTGTACATTTTTATTCTGGGAATACTTAGTCTTCAAGAGCCAGTGGAGAAATTGAAGCTCGTTTACGCTATTCAGGGGAATAAAGTTGAGTGCACACCTCATTTGAACTTAGTAGCTCCAGCTCTTCAAAGCTGAAAGCAGCAATGAAGGAAAGTGCATTTGAAAGCTAAGCTAGGGATTCTGCTCAGTCATACCTTTATGCAGTCATCTGGTGGGTCTCTACTTACTGAGATAAAATATGCATGGTGTGAAAACTAGGTATTTCCCATAGTTTATTCATTCTTGGGATATATAAAAACAAGGGGGGCATAATTTGTATAAGATGTAATTTGCCAATATGAAGACAGAATTTGGAAAGAAAGATCTGTATTTTGTACTTTTTTAATATGGGCTTTGTATGGTTCCATTGTGTATTTCAACGGTTTTGTTAGCATCATACCTTTTATTAATGCTGTTTGTGTGTATGGTTCTATTGATGCACAAAAGAAATGTAATTGGTAACAGGTAAACTGAATTGCTGAACTACTTGCTGTTTTATTAATGTTTAATAGTGTCTCTGCTCAGGTGGATAGAAAAGGGAGCGTTGGTTGGCTGCTGCTGTCCATAAGGAGCATTGGTTGGCTGCAGCCTGGCTGCTGCTTGTGAGGTCTGGAGGTACAATAGCACTTTCTTTAAAAGTGAAAAAATCTGAAGCACTGCAGATGAAAATTGTTTAGTGAGGAACAGTTAAGGGGAGAAAAATGATCTATGCAAAGCCTGTAACGTCAGTTACAACCTTAATGTAGTACTAGTAGAGTGTAGTAAGATGTGAAGCCAAAAAAAGCTACGGTATGACCCTTGGAGGTTGAAGGGAAAAATCTAATTATGTATTATATGATGGAAGCATATGTTCCCAAAACTTGAGTAGGAAGGAAGGTCTGACTTTCCAACTCCTGCACTCCTAGATTCATGATGCAGTGCAGTTGTGGGAGGAAAAAATGTCAGTCTCCATTCTTGTGGTTTAACCTTGGCTGGCAATTAAGTACCACACAGCTGCTCGCTTACCTCCCCCCCTCCTTCAGTGGAGGAGGAGAATTGGAGGAAAAGACAAGGGAGCTTGTGGATTGAGATATGAACAATTTGCTAATTGAATATAAATGAGTATTATAGTTATACTAATAGTGTTATTCGTATTGTTAATATTATGTGTAATGAAAATAATGGAAAATAAAACAAATTGTAAAATAGCTCACCACCCGCCGACTGATGCACAGCCAGGTCCTGAGTAGCGAGAGTCAGAGCCAGAGAACCTGAGAGCCAGAGCCGGAGCGTGATCACAGCAGTCGAAGCGAGCCTGACGAGCGAGAGAGTGACCGAGACAGCCAACCGACCCACCAGCTAACTATCTAACTAACTACTGAATGAACTGTGGCCCCCCAGACCACCCTCGACTTATGTACTGAGCATGACGTGCTATGGAATGAAATACTCCTTTGGTCAGTTGGGGTTAGCTCTCTGAACTGTGTCCCCCCTCCCCACTGCTTGTAGTGAGAAAGTTGGGAACACAGCTGCAGTATCATAACCTGAAAAAGACCTTAAATTGGTGCAAACACTCCTTAGCACCAACTAAAAACACCAATATTACCAGTATCTTGTGAGTGCACACCCAAAGCCTAGCCTCATACCAGCTACTGTGAAGAAAATTAACTCTGTCCTGACTAAAACCAGCACACCACTAAAAGCTAGAATTGAATTGAAGAGGGAGTGTATTCCTGAACTTGGGTGATACTTATGAAATGATAAAATTCAGAAAAAGACAAATGTAATGCTACTGAATTCAACTCAATGTAAAATTTTATATTGAACTTCCTAAACAGAAAAACACCTTAAATCAATGGAATACTTTTGCCCTTCATTTTGTGTGTTGTTGTAGACTTTTTTTTTTTTTTAAAACAATTTGCTTTTCTTACCTTGTAATTCCTGGTCACTTACTTCAATTTCTAGGGCTCGGCTCCAGAGATTGATCCTACTGACAGCTCGAACTTTGGTTGGGAAACTAAAATCAAGGCATGGATGGATCGTTATGAAGAAGCAAATAATAACCAGTACAGTGAGGGCGTCCAGAGGGAGGCACAAAAGATAGCTCTGAGATTAGGCAATGGAAGTGACAAAAAAGAAGTCAGCACCAGCAATCTGATTTTCAAACCTCCGGTAGAGGTAATGAGCTGTGCCGTGTTGTGTTACTGCATGCTCTTGCTGTGCCATGGTAAGGGTGTCTTTTTAGATGCCCTTTTTAAAAAAAAGAAAAAAGAGACTTCACATTTAGTTCTGTATCTTGAATCACCCAGTGTAAGCATCAGAGTTTTAACAGCTTTTTCTTAATTTGTAAATTGATTGTCATGCATCCTGCATCACCCCTGATTATGTTGCCACGTGCCTATCAGTTCTCATGAAAATAATTAAGGTGCTGCTCTGAGCATGAACACTGGATTGTCCTTTGACTGGCTTTGTGGTGGGCATAACTCGGTAAACTTTGCTGCTTCTCTGCTCTGTGAGGACTGTCAGGCGTGGTTAGAGCAGCTAGAAGCATTGAAGTTGGCATCTTTTTTTTTTTGCTATGTGTATCAGTGTGTTAATTATCCACGATTTTCTTAGGCTATGGTAAGTCTGGTTATACAGATAGAATAGAAGTTCATGTATTGGCTCATGAGGGGTGTTTCTGATGAGGGGTGGTACTCTGCTACTGATTTCTTTTTTACTCTTGTGATCCTATAATTCCTAGTTTATGAAGAAATTGTGCAGTGTTGTCTTTTATCCTTAACATCGGTTACTGAACAGCTCAAAATCAGAGCCATGTGACAGACTGTAGCATTTTGTAGCAGAAATCTGGAGGAGTAGTTACTGTAGCAGATTAATGGAAGCATCTTTGCTTCTTTTCCTCAAAGACGATCATGGCATATGGGACACCCTCCTTAGAGGAATATCCCTGCTTACAGAGCCTTTTGCCTACATAGAGGCTACTTCCTTTTTGATTGGCGCTGACAGTTATGAGAGGTCTGAGTTCACTAAATGTCAGGGTATGTATTGGTTTTTAATTAAAAGCCGTCCTTCCATCTAAAGATATATAAGAAACTTGGAAACTCTCTCAGGTTTCTTTTTTAAATTATTTTGTTAGTTTCTGTTCTGTGTTTTCCTTGAATGAATCATGAATGGCCTTTTACGTTTGCATGTTTTCGGTTTGAAGGGATTGAAACCTTTTGAAAGTGTTAGGCAAAACAGTGCAGCAACTCGTGCTAGTAGTGGTGAGAGTTAAGTGCACTAAGGAATATAGTACTTGAGTTGTGAGAACGTGAATATATTGCTTTTCAGACACAGACAGGAGAACTAGGGCTAAAGTATTCCTTGACTCTAAATTGATAACCAGGTGCATTGGTAGGAAAACAGGACAGTTAAATCAATCTGGAGGTTTAATCACAAAACGGGGAGGGTTTCTTTAGTTCCTGTAGAATTGTTTAGTAGTTGTGAAGGTATAATCTGCTGTTACTGAAAAAATGGTGGAAAACAATACCTCATGAGTTAACTTCTGTCTTTATAGAGTTACGTGCAAAAAAACAAGAAAATTTTAAAAGCTGCCAAAGACTTGCCTCCTGATGCACTTATTATTGAATACAGAGGAAAATTCATGCTGAGAGAACAATTTGAAGCTAATGGATATTTCTTTAAAAGGTTTGTTTTTTTCCAAATGTTTTAATAAAATAACTGTTAAAATGCTGTTTTGCTGAACTCTTGCCTCAAGTACAAGTGGGTCTTAATTACCAACAGTAATTACCTTGCATTTTACTGTTGTGTGATTAAAAATAACAGCAGCTGAAATCTGGCCCTCTCCTTCTCTTTTGGATATCCTTACAGATCTGCTCAGGAGTTAGTTTCCTCTTTTTTTGCTGTTCCCTGATTACAGGATTCCTGCATTCTCAGTTGGGTAGTTGTGCACCTTAAACCAGAGATTGGCAGGTTCTACCATCCTAACATAATGTAGAAGGTAATGACAAAGACATTCTCTTTTGTGAGAGAAACAGATTTTAAGCCCATCAGGCAAAGAACAGAATTGGACACAGGTCAACATGGGGCCTTTTCCTGCCAGAATTCTCTAGCTGGTTAAACTGCTGAGCAATGTGTGACTGCTTCCTTCTTCCCTGTGGATGATCTTCAGTGCTGCCATGCAGTGCACAGACACACCTCCCTGCAAAATTGCAAGAGGCCTGTTGGAGGAGAGAGAACACAGCTCTTCTGCTCAGTAAAGATTGGAAGGGTTCCCTAGCGCTTTTCATAGAACTTAAAGCACATCATGGCGAAGTATTTAGCCCAACTCAGGAGGGTTGTGTGCTAGTGACACTGTAGGTGTTAGGCAGGAATGTGAAAGTGTCCCTTTAATTCTTTTAGATAATTTTGTGAGGCACCTAAATTTCTACCTGAGTTTCATTTTATGACCAGCCATAAGAAAAGATTAAGAAAAATGATGAAACTTAACCTTGGGTCTTCCATGCCTAGTGCTTGCCCTGTTATTGTTCCTCCTTTTAGATCCTATGCAGAAGAATTGTGTTCACGGCCGTAACACAAACTTTGGTACTCTGAGACTACATTTGGAGAACGTATCAGCTAGAGTCATGCAGCTGGTATACAAACGGCTCATCCTCAGATTAACCCACAACTCTGGTGTATCATGACAAACGTCATGTTACAAAGCTAACTGATGTGAAAGATAAGTGATATTTATCATATATAATGATGCTAAAACTCTGGTTTTCTTCTATCTTTCCCAGACCATACCCGTTTGTTTTGTTTTATTCCAAATTCCATGGGCTAGAAATGTGTGTTGATGCAAGGACTTTTGGAAATGAAGCTCGATTCATCAGGCGTTCGTGTACGCCAAACGCAGAGGTGAGCATATATATAAAGTTAAACTAGGTTTTATTTACTTAGAAGTCCCCTTCTCCTTGACTTTCCCCACTGATAATTTGAGCAATCCCTACAATTTCTACATGGATACTTAAAAAAAAAAACCCCAACACAAACCCAAAGAGTAATTAATGATAATATAATAATGTTCTCTTGAATATAGGTGAGGCATGTAATTGAAGATGGAACAATTCATCTTTATATTTACTCCATCCATAACATTCCAAAGGGAGCAGAGATAACGATAGCATTTGATTTTGATTATGGAAATTGGTAAGTATTTGAGCATACAGTTCTAAAATATACCTAATGCTTACAAAGTTGTACTGTGAAGATTTATCATACATGTGTCCCGTGGTGTGGGGAGAGGAGAGGGAAGGAAATCTGGAACTATTCTGTAGTGCCCTATTTATTTCAGAATGCCCCTGTAGTATAACTTCAGGAAGACAGTGTCTGGAATTTTGTTGATTAATCATGTTTGTTCAATGTGTGATGAAGAATGTTCAGGTACACTGAAGGCTTAGTGCCTTCCATTCCATACCCTGTTACACATTTTCCTAAATATAACTGCTGCTCCTTTGAATTGGGGAAAGGTCTAAAACGGTTGCTAATGTCTGTAAACATTGTTTTGAAATGGTAAAGGAAATAATCGGTGAGTTCCACTCGTGTGTAGGAACCGTTACTCAAACACCTCCGAATTCTGATGGCAGAATAAGGCCTTTGAGTGCTATAATCTAGTCATGATTTCTGTGGGCTAGTAGGAAGTGTTCTAGGGTACAGGCACATTGTGCAGGAACATGTAGGTGAATACTGACCTTGGAAACTGAAGTTTTGAAGAGCCTATTTCTGTATGCGTGCTGGTCGGCTTCAGAAGCCATCCAGCTCTTGGACATTTCGCCACGCCAAGGTAATACACTTTTCTGTGGCCTGCTCATAAGTCAGCTTGGGTGCAGTGCTCTGCCGACATGCCTTCCCTACTTCTGGACTTGAAATACTTACGTCCCTGGAGTTCTACCTGTAGTAATCAACTTGGATTCAGACTAGCTCAAGATACCTTGAACTGTTAAGTGTTAAAGACATGCTCCAACATCACTCACATGAAGACAGCCTGAGAAATTGCCTGGTTGATAGGGGTTTTTTGGGGTATTTGTTAGTTACCATTTTAAAAGAAGTATGTAATAATTGTGTTTAGTACCTGCAGCTGACAGGCTGTGCAAGCTGAATGTGTTTTGAGTAACAGTTCATAGAATCATAGAATAGTTTGGGTTGGAAGGGACCTTAGAGATCATCTAGTTCCAACCCCCCTGCCATGGGCAGGGACACCTTCCACTAGACCAGGTTGCTCAAAGCCTCGTCCAGCCTGGCCTTGAACACTTCCAGGGATGGGGCATCCACAACAGTTTCTGTGTATCCAAGTGGAACTTGAAATTGTGCAAAGTGACCAAGTTGTTTTCAGTGTGCTTGTTCTGTAAATGGTTCCTACTGTCTTTGCATAACGCAGGAATTCCTACACATCCGTTAATTTCTTCAATGTGGTGGTTACTTTTCCACCCAGGATATACTTATATTTTAGGTATCTTCTGTCTTCAAGAATATTCTGTTATCCAGTGGATCAGATTTTTGAATTATAGCTATGTTGTATACGTTGGTGGAAACTTGAGTCAGCTGCTTTTAATATGGTTGGTTTGTGTCGTATCAGATGTTTAATGTTAAATGTATCAGCTTGTGTGATTTAGTGTTCAAAAGTCTCATTGCTGTACAGCCTAATCAATAGATGCCTTCTTGCATTTAATTATTTTTAGTAAATACAAAGTGGATTGTGCTTGCCTCAAAGAGAATCCTGAATGTCCAGTTCTCAGACGTTCTGAGCCTACAGAAAACATCAATACTGGATATGAAACGAGAAGGAAAAAGGGAAAAAAAGAAAAAGATGTTTCAAGAGAAAAGGAGACTCAAAATCAGAACATCACATTGGACTGTGAAGGAGGAGCCACCAAAATGAAGATCACAGATAATAAACAGAGGAAGCTCTCTCCCCTCAGGCTGTCCATTTCTAATAATCAGGTATTGACACAAAGGTGACCAGAAAGAATAACTCTTAAAACACAAATATTCTCCTTCTAGTTACTAAAGGACTTTCAATAAGTTACTGAAAAAGGGTATGGAGATCTATCAGAAAACATAATGATGGATAAGCTATTTAGAATCTTTTATCCTATTTTCGGTTTTCCTTAATTATAGAGTAGTTTGGGTTGGAAGAGACCTTTAAAGGCCATCTAGTCCACCCCACCCACCCCACCCCCACCCGCCATGGCAGGGGCATCTTCCACTAGACCAGGTTGCTCAGAGTCCCATCCAGCCTGGCCTTGACCACTTCTAGTGAAGGGGCATCCACAGCTTCTCTGGGCAACCTGTTCCAGGGCCCTCATTGTAAGAAGTTTTTTCTTTTATCTAGTCTAAATCTGCCATCTTTTAGTTTAAAACAGTTACCTCTTGTCCTGTTGCTGCAGACCCTACGGAAATGTTTGTCCCCGTAATATTTGATTGCATTTAAAGAAACGTTGGTTCCCATACCAGTTTCAACTATACATTTTTTCCTCTGGATTTCTTTGTGGATCTCTAATGGAAAGCCTCATGTCATGCTTTCAGGAGCTCCCAGTCCATCCTGAACTGTCTTTTTGATTAACTGACTGTGTTACTCCGAAGTGTAGTATTTTAAGCACAGCAGTAAGTAGCCTTGCTCCTATAGCGCAGAACTTCAAGCCAGAGTAGAGTACTAAGTGTTGGCTGTAGCTCTGTGTGGAAGAGTAAATTGAGTTTGGGGAGTCTGGGGAAGGAAGGTGTGTTTTGAAGCTAAGTACTGGATAATAGGGGGATAGTGTGGTAAAGCTACCTGGTAATAACCCATGGTAGTCAACTTCAAATTAGTCTGTCTTCTACTGTCAGTTTGAAAAGACTAGTGGGAGAGATCCGTGAGAGTAATTATTAACTTAATTTTGTGGAGCAGCTATTAAATATATTTAACATAAGATGGTTACTTTAGTAATTCTTTTCTGTCGTGGTGGTGGTGATGTATTTTCTTATATGATGGTTTTTGATGATAATTAAGGAGCAGAAAGCAAAGAGTTACTCTGTGGAGAAGCTATTTCCAGGTTCTTAATCTTTCAATGTCAGTTAGGAGTGGAGGACATAGGGAGAAAATGACCCCCAATTTTCATAACATGATCAAATTGTTCTGGGGTTTTAGTAGCTAAATAGCTTAAACATTCTTGGAAGTCCAGAAGGCATGGCATGTGACTATTACAAATTATAACCTCTAGGGGCGACATTTAAACTTTCTCATCTTAAGTGATTTTTTTTCATTTTGATAACTGGTATTTGGAACCTTCTCCTCAGCTTTGAACACAGTATACAGTGCTTACAGTATACAGTCACAGGAGAACTGATACTGTTTTTCAGAACTGAACTTAAAAAAAAGTAGGAATTGTAAGAAGAACAAAGCTGTTAAAATGTGTGTCTAAATACAGAAGCCAGTCAAGTAATAGCTTTTTTTTCCCTGGCGTGAAATACATAATGCTGAGATAAAGAAAGTGTATGGGAAAATGTACTTCTAAGACATATGTTCAAAAAACTTTGTATAGTCCTTTATGTAAAAGTGAAATTGCATACAGGACAAGTGAACACTTAACTCTTTTTTCAAAGTTACTGGTTTTTAGTTTGCGATGTTTGCCTGTTCTTTGGTTTTTCCCAAACAGAAAACCATTATTAGTTCGCTAACTCCTGTGTTTCCTTACAATATGGCACTGTCATTAGATTCTATAGTGAGAGCTTAAATGGAAAATGTGACGTTAATAGGATATACTTTAGGCCTGAGAAGAACCTCTCTGTAACTGTCTTAACATCTCCTTTGACATTCACTCTATTTCACTAAAACTAATGCCTTTTTCTTATCATGGGTGTGTGAAGTGCAGCTCCTGATTCTTTAACTGATGATAAAGTGGCTAGATTAGTGGCTGCTGTTAGTGCCCAAAAGTTTCTATTGCTTTGGAGGTTTAAGTCTGATTTTTTTTTCCCCCTCTGGTGGGGTGGGGGAGTGGGGATGGAACCCCAGAATTTCAGTGAGATCAGTGTGCTGAAGAAAAAAGATACAGATGTGTCTTAAGCTCAGAATGGGAAAGATCCAGTCAGGTGATACCTACAGGTTTATAGAAAGGCATAAGTGGATATTAGTGTGGTTTTTTGCATTTTTGTTTTAATTTATTTGCTTGGTTACTTTTGATGTAGTGATCTGAGGATTCTTGGTTCTGTGTAGCTTTTAGTTTTCCCTAGCTTGCAAGAGTAGTAGAGCTTCTGTAAAGCAGTCATTTCCATCTTTCAGGAGCCAGATTTTATTGATGATATAGAAGAAAAAACTCCCATTAGCAATGAAGTAGAAATGGAATCAGAGGAGCAGATTGCAGAAAGGAAAAGGAAGATGGTAAGTTGGGAAGCAAGTAGCTGCCTAAAGCTGTCACTGAGGCTTAGTGACACCTGCTCTTCCCATGCTGATTGCTGCCTTTTTGCAGGCTTGTAGAATCCGGGTATACGTGAAGTCAGATCCTTACATGAACTTCAACTTAACATGCAAGGCTTGCCATATGAGAGCGTGTCATCTGTCTTGATCATTGCTTTCTGATAAAACCCTGCCTTTATCTTTGAACATACATAATTTTCTGTTGCCTCTAAAAAAGACATTGTAGAAATCTTCTAGCTTTTATTTTCTTCACTTTTTAATACTGCATGTTACTTGTAATGCTATTTGATAGATAGTATTGGCAGTCAGGATTTTTCCCTGACTGTTTAGAGTTCCCAACTTACAAAGCCTTGGAAATCCGGTTGGTTGACTAGTCTTACGAAAACTGGCATTTTGAAATGTGCTTTTCTTGTTAGGCATTCAAAATGTGAGAAAATTGAAATTACTAGTGAAATCAAATATTGGCCAAGTTGTATAATGAACTTTCATTTTATTGTTTGTGCTCCCAGAACTTGTGGTAAGTGGAGTTCAGGGTGACACCAAAACGATCTGCGTCTGCTCAGACCTTAAAAAAATACAGGAGGGTGGGGTTAGTATTTCCTACAACTGTCGAGCAAAATTGGTGAGACTTGTGTTTATTAGATGAAAGCAAAATCTGCTCAAGTAAAATGTATATTTTTCTGTGAAATCTGGAGAATGGCATCCTGAGCTCTAATATTAAATCATAGAATCACAGAATGGTTTGGGTTGGAAGGGACCTTAAAGACCCTCTAGTTCCAACCCCCCTGCCATGGGCAGGGACACCTTCCACTAGACCAGGTTGCTCAGAGCCACACCCAGTCTGGCCTTGAACACTTCCAGGGATGGGGCACGAAACAGTGTCTGGTCATGGTTTTGAGGAAGGAATTCTCATCAGACACTGTTGGCTGTATTGGTTTTGCTCCAGAGGATGCTGGCTTTTCTGGCACTTTACGTTTGCATTCCTACTAAAGCAACACTCTCTGCAGAACTCAGTTACAGCAGAGTTGCTGTGGGAGTTAAAGATGTCACTATTACTCCAGCTTCATTAGAAGGACTGCAAATAACTGCAAGTTCGCTTGATCTCACCAAGCAAACCCAGGCAGGTTCAGTGACAAAACAAAATTGCGTTCCTCATTCACTCACAAGAGCAGTATTTGCAGGTATTCTGCTTTCTGTGATGTGAACACCACGTGTCTATCAATGCACTGCTGAGCTGCAGGTGCTTATGAGGAAAAAAAAAGTTTGTAATAGAAGCCCCCAGTTCTGCCACCTCTGTATTGTCTTCAGCAGAGCTCTGTGCAGACGAGGAGTTCTGCCTCCCTGCACCACTGGGATCGGAATTACGGATAGACAGATAATACAGCTTCTTGGTGTCACTGAATTTTTTTCTTACTTTGAAATTTATTGTATGGTTTGGTGTAGCGTGTGACACTTGGAAAGCTGGGTCAGAAGGTAACGGAGTCTTCTGTTGTTTCATACATGTATTAATACATCATATTTTTCTGGTCATTAGTGTTTTACCCTTTTTAAGTACTGTGCATGCAAGTAAGGGGCTCAGAGCTACACGTTCTTTCTCTGCTTTATAGGCCAGTGATGCACTAGCAAATCAGTATTTCTAGCAAGTTTTTAAATCCAAAGCAAAACCCTCTTCTTGTTTGTCAGGGTTAGTATGACTGCACGCCTTCCTTCAGAGGCCTGTAATAATTGCAGTCGTCGGAACATCTGCCTTTCCTCTGAGCTTTACTGAAACTGCTCTGCATGTCAACACAGTGAACATGTTCTGAAGTACTTCAGAAAAAGCCCAGAAAGTATTTATTTACATACGTGAAAGATTATGACTGAAACTTGACCGTGCTTATTATTAAATCCATCAGACGAGAGAAGAACGGAAAATGGAAGCTATCCTGCAAGCTTTTGCCAGACTAGAAAAAAGAGAAAAAAGAAGAGAGCAAGCTTTGGAAAGAATCAGCACAGCAAAAACTGAGGTTAAATCAGAATGCAAGGAAGCACAGATTCTCAATGATGCTGAATTTATCCAGGTACTTATTTGGAACTTTTTTAAAGCTAGCTTTTAGCATGGCATATTTTATTGGTTTGGATGTCAAGCTGCACTTCTAAGATGTTATTAAATACTGGTTTTCCTCTCAACTCAGATGTATTTGACCGAAATCTTAATTACTGAATGTAATACAATAATTTTTTACTCTGCTGTTGCTAGATGCTAGTATGCTTCACCTTGCAAAGACTCCTACAGATTCTCAGTTCAGGTTGTTTCCCTGGGTAATACCTGTCAGCATGCTGTTAAGTACCCTTTGTGAAAATGCTAAACACTTAGTAAACTGTAAATTACAAAGAGGATATTTACCTGAAATACATCACAATATGACCAGCTTATTTCTAGCTTACGGTTGAATGAGCGCTGTATGGCAGTTCTTAACACAGGTCTGTGGTGGTGCCAGTAACTGGTGTGTGTGCGAATTCTCTGCCAGTGGTATATCAGGTGCTTGGGAGGAAAATACAGGAAATTTGGTAGTTTGTGTTGAAGAAGGATAAAATATGCTCTGAAGTGTTTTAGTTCTAACAACAAAAACGAGATAGAGGCTTTTTGGACCTGAAAAGGAAGGGGGAATTGTATTTTGTTTTAAGAAAGATAGGTTGCTTTACCACGTGTGTGGGATGTGATTATTAGACTTTTATTTTGTACCAGGAACCAGCAAAAGAAGAAACTGCCACCAAGCCTACCCCAGCCAAAGTTAATAGAACTAAGCAGAGAAAAAGCTTCTCACGAAGTAGAACTCACATTGGACAGCAGCGTAGACGACACAGAACTGTCAGCATGTGTTCAGATATCCAGCCCTCTTCTCCTGACGTGGAAGTAACTTCACAACACAATGAAACTGAGAATGCTGCACTGGTAGCTGAGCCTGAAACGGAAACTGTCGTTACAGAAATGGTTACTGAAACGGAAGCTCCAGCACTTAATAAATGCCCTACTAAGTATCCTAAAACAAAGAAGGTACGTCTCTTAAGGGAGGGGGAGAAGAGCATGCACTTCAACAGGGTTCTCAAACATCACAGGCTGCTGCAGCAGTATGCAACTATATGTAGAGATAAAAAAGAGTTGACTCATTTATTCAAAAATCACTGTTACCTAGTCACTCACTGATAATAAATAATGAAGAGATTAGAAAAGGTATGTGTAACAGCCATTGGTAGAAGTTATTTTGGATTTTCAGAGACTTACAAAGTACATGTTTCAGAACAATATTGGAACAGCTGTTTTCTGAGGGAAGGACTCTCTCTAAGTGGGCTGAAATCATATACGTAACCAAAACATCATTAAAGCCATTAATATAGAAGTTTAAAAAAAGAAAAAAGGTCGCCTTTCTGTCCTTTGTTCATCATATGCTTTAGAAGGTGTTTCAGTGGTAGCAAACAGTATCTCAAAAGAAATCATTAAGTCCTAGTACTTCTGAGGTGTCTGTTCGGAAGTGAATGGAGTTAAACACTCAAAATTTATTTCCATGTTTGGAGGGAAGATTCTTCTTGGAAGATTCCAATTTTTATCAGACTGCGTTTCAGAAAGCTTAAAGAAATGCCACAGTATTTAAAGACACTCAAAAAAATTGTCACTCTGCAAGTGTGAATAAAGCAGTAAAACTTTCTGCTTTAAAATTCTAGAGACTGCATTAAAAAAAAGACTTTTTTTCAGCGTGCTTTACAAGTTCTTCTGAAAACTTGATTTGGTGGAGAGGAAGGGGGAAGAAACCATAGGTTGAAACTTCTTGTTGAATGAACAGTAACAATTTCAGGATGGTTTTATCTTAAACACCCAATGACGTAACTTGTGTATCACTGCTTTCTTGCAAAAGCCACCCCAGTCACCCTGTAACGCTGCTTATTGCGTCACTGTTAAACTCTTGTCAGAGGGGAGGCCAGAATTTCTCTGCCTTTTTTGTGTCGCATAGCAGGAAAAAAAAAGGGAAGATGTCTGAGAAGTCTGAATTTTACTGTGCTTTTTGCTGTTTCGTAGTATTAAGGATAAATGTCAGTGAAATGTCTCATTGCATTGTACCCAGTGTACCCCAAGTGAGGAGAAAGTCCTGCTTTAAAAATGCATTAACAAATACAGGTTTGTAAATCATGAGCAACTTCGATTATCATAATATATTCCATTTTGTTTGAGCTTTAATATATTAGGCTTAATGTATTAATAGAAAGCCAACCGTGTCCTGGGCTGTATCCAGAGAAGTGTGGCCAGCAGGTCGAGGGAGGGGGTTCTCTCCCTCTACTCTGCTCTGGTGAGACCCCACCTGGAGTCCTGCATCCAGCTGTGGAACCCTCAACATCAGAAGGATATAGACTGGTTGGAGCGAGTCCAGAGGAGGCCACGGAGATGATTAAAGGGCTGGAGCACCTCTGCTATGATGAAAGGCTGCGAGAATTGGGCTTGTTCAGCCTGGAGAAGAGAAGGATCCGGGGAGACCTTATCGCAGCCTTCCAGTACCTGAAGGGGCCCTACAGGGAAGCGGGAGGGGACTTTTTGCAAGGGTTTGTAGTGACAGGACAAGGGGGCACGGGTTTAAATTGAAAGTGGGGAGGTTTAGATTAGATATCAGGAAGAAGTTCTCCCCAGAGAGGGTGGTGAGGCACTGGAACAGGTTGCCCAGAGAAGCTGTGGATGCCCCATCCCTGGAAGTGTTCAAGGCCAGGCTGGACGAGGCTTGGAGCAACCTGGTCTAGTGGAAGGTGTCCCTGCCCATGGCAGGGGGGGTGGAACTAGATGATCTTTTAAGGTCCCTTCCAACCCAAACCATTCTGTGATTCTATGATTCTATTAATACTTAATGTGCTATTTTTGCATGTCCTTAACTTTGTTGAAGCATTGTGAAATTTTATGAGGTTAAGTTAGCTGTCAGTAGGAACTAAAATCCACTGGCACATCTTTTAGAAACACTGAACTAGCTAGGGAAGAATCTTTTTTTTTTTTTTGACAAATGTGCCTCAGTGAATGTATTTCATTTTAATACAGCTGCAGTGGTGAAGAACGTTCAAGGTGTATGCCTGACACATGGAAGCATAGCCCTGACAGTACAGAAATCTGATGAGGAATCAGCTTAACTTTGCTCTGTTAGCATTACACTATTTCCCCTCAGCTTTAGGTGCTGAAGTACAAGTTCAGGATTTGTCTTGGAATTCTGTTACTAAATTCACATCATATGTACTGTTCATCAGGGCACTTTTGTAGTCTGTTCAGTAAGAGTTAAATACAGAACTAAATGTTTACAAAACACAAACAAAACCACCAAACCCAAAAAGCCCTACACAAACTAAACCCCAAAAACCCCAAATCACCAAAACTTTGGTACATAGAGTAAGTCTATACGATTCCTTGCTCTGTTCCAATTACTTCACTAAAAATGTCCTCTTTCTTACCCTGGGTATTCTGAGACCTCCAGCCTAGAAACAGCTGTTCTCTGTTTGTGTAACAGTTGACTAGATTAACAATTAGACCAAAAATTTCTGAAAGCCACTGATAAAAACACTCATAAAATGCTGATCTATCTCTCTCTCTCTCTCTGTTTAGCACTTGGTCAGTGAATGGTTAAGTGAAAAGAGTGATAAACCAGGGAAGCCTGCAGACAGTGTATCAGAAAGGCCTCTGCGCATAACTACCGACCCTGAAGTTCTGGCTACTCAGCTGAATTCTTTACCAGGTCTCACTTACAGTCCACACGTGTATTCAACTCCAAAGCACTATATTCGGTTTACTTCACCATTCCTTTCAGAAAAGAGGAGGAAAAAAGAACCTGTGGAAAACATTACTGGCTCCTGTAAGAAGGTAATGCTTCCCCTCCCTTGTTAATGAAAGGTAATTCTTTATTTGCCAGCACGAGTTGAGGCAGAAAAAAGCTGTCTGGCAAACCAGTTCTGTGTAACGCATTTTGGAATGTTTCTCATTCAACTGTGAAGTCACTGATGAGAATTTGGTTTATTACAGCGTTGGTTGAAGCAGGCTTTGGAAGAAGAAAACTCGACAATGATGGATAGTTTTAATTCACCGTCGCAAGAGAGATGTAGAAGTCCAGCCATCAATGGTGAAAACAAAAGCCCGTTGTTACTGAATGACAGCTGTTCCTTAACAGGTGAAGCTTTTGCTAGCACGGTGTGTCGGAGTCGTTAAATGTGGGTTTTAAAGTGATGAGTTAATGAATGTTTCTGGGGTATTTGCACTGTTTCCTGGTACTTCCTTTGAAGGAAATAGTTAATTGTATAGTGGTTGGGATTTTTTCCCCTCTCAGTGTCTAACTGATCCAAGTAACAACCGTATCTCACGGCGTTGACCATCAACAGACGACTGACGTTCTTGACTGTGAACACTAAGCAGTTAGATTATAAACTCCTTTTCCATGCTGGGCTGTATATTCAAACTTTCTGTTAAATTTGCCAGGCCTGTGTTGCACACACAGGAAAACCTGATTCATCTTTTAGACATAACACAAAATGGGAACATGCTAAAGCGCTTCCGTAAGGATAATGGAGCATGTCAGATGATTCCTGTGTACAGTCCTGAACTTGGAATTCCCACTTATTAGCCAAACAGTCTCAAAAATGTATAGAAGTTGACTTTCCCTTTTCTAAAAACATAGACAGTTCTTCCCATCATCCTAGCACAAAAACGTCGGTTGCAGATATATCAGTAGGCTGTTTATTTTTCAGGGGGTCTGTAGCCTGTTAAGAGTTCATCTTTCAGCAAGCCTGCCCTTAAGAGATTTTTGTCATTTTTACTGATTTTTTTAATGTGGGGTTCATAATCTCGTTACATCAAGTACTGAAACAACTGTGACTACTGCATCTAGGTCTCTTCTAGCTGTTGTCTCATTTTAACACACAGACCTAACCACGCCGCTGAAGAAACGAAGGCTGTATCAGCTGTTGGAGTCTGCGTTCTCAGAAACCTCCACACCTACTCCTTCTCCCTACGCCACACCGACCCATGCTGACATCACTGCCTCCGAGCCATCGTTGTTTGCTACTCCTCCCAGGGTCAAAACAGAAGATGAAGCTTGCAGAAATGGTTACAAACCCATCTATTCACCAGTTACTCCTGTAACTCCATGTATACATGGAAATACCATGCACTTTGAGGTGAGATTTATAGTGAATTTTGGCATGTTCATACATTCTAGTGTAATCAGTATTTGTACTCCTGCTACAAGGGTGTGTTGTTTCTCCAAGCTAAAAAAGAAATTGACTTGCAATTTCTTTTTATTTATTTAGAATATTTCCTCACCTGACAGTTCCCCAGAAATAAAAAGGCGAGCTTACAGTCAAGAGGTAAGGATATTTGCCAAAAGCTGGAAATGGTACCTTGATTGCACCTGTACAGCTGCTCCGCTCGTAGTAAATGCTTTCTGCCAGCCACTGCAAGTTGCCTGGAATGTGAAGGATGACTTCCCTTTGGGTTTCCTTTGCTTATTATTGTATATTTGGAACTAGATGATCTTTAGGACCCCTTCCAACCCAAACCATTCTGTGATATTTCCACTTTACCAATGTCATTTTCTATTTTAAACTGGGTTCTTTCTCCTCTTTCTGTATCACTCAAAAATCCCAGTGGCTGTCACAGAAAGCAGTAACTATGGTAATTTACAGATGGGAAAAGAGAAGCAGCACTTGGGCTTTTCAGGCTGTAGTTAGATCTCCTTGTTACCAGCGTCTCCTAATTGTTTCTGTTGAGCCTAATTACGCTCAGAGTGAGAGACAGCTAATAAGGGAGTTCAGGTGCATTTGTTGAGGAGCAGCAAGTGCTATTGGAACGTGCCTGGGGGGAGGGCAGCCTGGCTCTGAGACCTTCCCTAGGGACCCATCTGCCTGTGCGGGAGGGTGCGGAAGCATTCTGGTTCCATATGGTGACGACCCAGTTTGCATAAACTTAATGGGCAAAACCCCAACAATAAAAAGGGTTAGCTGGTTATGCTAACAGAGACACCGACTTCTGGTGAGTCGTGTGAATGAGTGATGCAAATACTCCCCCCTGGGAATTAGGCACATTACATGTATGGGGGGGGTTTAGGTCAAAATTTTAACAAATGTTGAAATGCAGAAACATTTTTCATACAATCATAGCTGGGGACTGAATGGAACGATTACTTCTAAATTACCTCAAGGGGTTTTACTTGGAACTTTCTTTTTGTAATACAAATAATTTTAAAAGGATTCATGAAAAACAGAACGTGTGCGTTTAGAGAAGATACCTCAGCCATGGATGTGTGCTGGGTTTTTTATGGATAATACAGTTTAAGTAGTACAAAAATCAGTTTCTATACCTTCAGAATTATTTTTCCCCTCTCCAGAATACCAGTTTTAATATTGTCTTAAAATTCTAAAGTGTCATGGAGAAACTTTTCTCTTTTCCTTCTTGAAAAAAGTGTGGTGACACTGAGGTTCCTTTTTGTGTTGAATGGAAGCAAGTGCTTTGTAACTTCCTTGTTGTGTCTTCGACTTGCTTGTGTCGAAGCTCCTCCCTTCCTCTGCCAAACAGAAATAAAACCTGGCACTTAAACTTTATTTTTCCTTTGGTTAATGTGCATTTTATTAAAATGCTTTTACCTAATAACATGGCACTAGTAGGAGTAAATGTCTGGCTGTAGAACCGTTACTTAAAAGTAGATGAAGGCAGGGTACTGGAAGACCTTTAATCCCACTTACATGGAGAACTGAATGTCAGAACAGTTGGAATTTTCTTGCAGTATGGAAAAACAGCTGACCTGCCTTTCTTTTTTTCCACGCAGGGATATGACAGAGCATCGATTCTAGCACTGAATTCCTTCAGAAATTCCAACCTGACGGAAATGAGCCTACAAGAAATAAAGACTATTGGATATTCCAGTCCGAGGAATAGGACTGATGTGTCACGGCAGTGCACTGGAGAAATGGAATCTGTGTCAGACCTCCAGCTGGGACTCGAAGCAATTGAGCAAAGTGCACTGCATAAAAACCTGGAAGCCCCCACACATGATAGGACTGATTCAAACAGCCAATTAGAAACTGCTCACTGTGGACGGGGCACAATTTATTCTTCCTGGGTAAAAAGTCCCGACAGGACAGGTGTAAATTTCTCAATGAATTCTAATTTGAGGGACTTGACCCCTTCACATCAGTTGGAGGTAGGAGGTGGATTCAGAATAAGCGAGTCAAAGTGCCTGATTCAAGACGATGCTAGAGGCATGTTCATGGAAGCATCTGTTTTTTGTACTTCAGAAGATGGAATTGCATCTGGCTTTGGAAGGACTGTCACTAACGACAACTTGATGGATGGAAATTGCACACCCCAGAATCCTCCACAAAAGAAAAAGGTTACCATTTTAAGAATCATTTGGTCTGTCTTACATAGTCTGCTCACCATAATATAATAAAAAGCTACTGATGGCTCACCTTTAGATACTGCAACGTAGTAGACGTTTTTCAGGGGAAATAAGAGCAAAGAGTAAAGCTGCATCCACCCATTAGTGAGTTTATTTTTTCCCAGTAAATAGCTACGCACTCATCTTTATTTCATATGAGTCTTAAACGAATTGTTCAATAAATAATTGCTTTTCAGGTCTGAAAATGGTTGCTTATGCCACCAAAGTATTACAGTATTCTGTTATACAGAATATATACAGAGATTGTGTACTGGGAACAGTTGTTAGGAATTAATGCAATTTCTTGTAGTAACAGATTCATGATACTGAGGCTTTAAAATTCCAGTTTTTGTGTAGGTAAGGGATCTTGGTTTCACTGTTACAGCTACACAGAGTCTTTAGTTCCAAGAAATCTTTTACTTGGCTTAATCTCTTCTTTTATAAAACACTGTTTGAAAAATAAGCACGCTCTAACTTTGCTGCTGTCGTGAAGCAGTTCTTGTAGGTCAGCGGTATGGTCATGGGCAACTTGATCCAGAACTGGAAGTCACCTGTGTAACTAACTCTGTGACTGCCCTGTGCTGTCCAGTCAGACTCCCTTTGCTCCTTGCAGAAGGGATAATGGACGTGGAATGCAATAGTCCCCGTGGCAACAGCTTGCCGGTTCTTTCTCGCAACAGGCTGTACTGATCTTCCTTGTTTGAAAGATGTGATCCGTTTTCTTCAAGAAGGAGTGACGGGGATGGGGGCATACGCTGTGTGGCACCTGCACGCACGGTGGCGTTTTGGTTTTTGGTCCCCTCTGCGCTCCCCGTACGCACCACCGCCCCTGTGCTCTGGGGGCGCCCTGCTGGGCAGCACTAGTGATCCGTCCTTCCGCAGTTCTCCATCCAAACTGGAATTCTGTTTACTTTGCTTCCAACTGAGCCATAACCGAAGCGAAGGCAGTAGGAGCTCTGTTCTTACCTGCTCCTGACCCTGCGAATTTTATAGCTCCCCCTGCGTGTTACTGTAGCCCTGCTGCTTTGGCAGAGCCAAAAAAACACATAGAGGAAGCCAGAATGTCTGTAGCTTTGCATTCTTCTGTCTGAAGGTTAAATTAGTTCATTTTCTAATCCCAGAAACAACCAGAGAAAACTGTCTGAACCCCTGAAAGAATGGGCTTTAGGCTTTCCAACAGCACACCAAAAAATGCAGTTTTTTGTGTGTAAAAAGGGGAGTGTTGGGAATCTCCCCTCAGGAGAAGGTGAGAGTTCAGGAATTCTGTAGGAGAATAATAGAAGCCTTTCCCTGGAATCACGTAAGACAGGAATGTCCTTTTGTAGTTGTTAAAGGAGATTTTTTCCATATTTCAGCATTTCTGTGGGCATCTCCTCCTTTGTTTTCTCTCACCATTCCACAAGTTCATCCCACTGCAATACGGTCCTGCGTGTCCTGGCCACACGGCAGTGACTGCACTCGTTCTCGGCACCTCAGCTTGCTTTAAAGCAGTGTTCTTCAGGGGATCCTGGTCATGTGGCGTGGAAATAATGTAAATTGTTTCAAAGAAGATGGGTTCTTAACCTAAACTGTTCCAAAAAGGAGGTTCCGTTCTTAACCCAAACTTTCTTTTATGAAAGATCAGGTATTTCTAATTGTTCTTACCCTGCCACAAAGATGTCTTTAATGGACAGAACTGTTCAAAACCAGACAGAAAACCCCCTAGGACTGCAAGCAGGGCAGGCTCTCTGGGCTCCTCTCTCTCTGTAGAAGCAGATGTCTGCTTTTACTGGAGACCAAGCCAGCTAAACATGATTGGTTTTCATTCTTGCGCTTCGGATGCCGTGTAGTTCTGGTAGCTAGAAGAAAAGATACCGAGACATTAAATGCCATGCCCACCAAACTAATTTCCTTACTGAGTAAAGTAGGTCTGAAGGTCAGTATTGCAGCTTTCTGCTTCAAATCCTGAAGATGCATAGTGAAAACACTTGAAAATTAGTTTTTCTGACTGCAGGTAACATATTTAAACAGTTTCCTGTTCTATATAAGCTTCTGTGTAGTGGTTTTATATACATTAATATATAAAAAGTAGGAACAACTTTTCATTTGTCTGGTTTTGGTAATAAACTTGGAAGTGAGTATTAAAGTAATAATCTTAATCAGCTTCTTTTTAGGGGGCAGTAAAGACAATTTCAAAATCACCTGGGAAAAGAGTGAAAGTTTTGAATTCTGTACGAAGGTGTATGAGGAGCTTAGAGAATCCTTTGGGCAGGGCAGTAGAGTGGTGGGTTTTTCAGTAAGGGGGTCGGCCTGAGAGCAGAGCGCGCCATCTCTGCGTTAGCTTTACTGCCTTGCTATGCCCTTACTAATGCTGCGATTCTGGGAGAACCTGCGAAGTCCCTTGCAGCTTCAGCCAACAGCAGGACTTCAGTGGCAAAGCCTTTGGCTGCCCTGCATCATCTCCGCTTCCTTCCCAAGCACGAGGCGTACTTCCTTCTCCTGGAGCAGCTTTTCTTTACGTGGTCCTTACAGCCGCTGCTTGCTCAGTCCTCTGTAAAGTCACTGCAGATGGGTGGAAGACCTTCGTTAATCTACCCTCCTTTCCTTTTAGGACCAGAGAGAGGCTGTGTCTTACTGCAAGAGAAAAGGAAACCAGTAAACTTCCCTTCTGACGTTTGTTTTTTCCCCTCCATCCCTAGGTATCCTTATTGGAATACCGTAAGAGACAACGAGAAGCTAGAAAAAGCGGCTCAAAGACAGAAACCTTCCCCCTGGTTACGGTGTCTCCTCACGCTGCCGGTGGAGGAAATCTCAGTAGTAACAATGGTGCTAACGATGGGTATAACAACAGTGGTGAAAACGGGGAGCAGACTGAGAGCACGGCAAGCCTGCCTTTACCACTGCCGACTGCGGTTTATAGCGCAGCTCCCGAAGACGGTGGCAGCAGCTCTGCAGCTAAGGAGCCCTCTTCCAGCGAGAAGAACGAACCAGAAGTTCAGTGGTAAGCCATGGAACTGGGGGGCTGGAGTGTGGAAGAATTACTTACGTGGGCCTTTCCGGTGTGAAATCCAGCTTCGTCGCCGAGGGTGCAGTTGCAGGTTACTGCCGGGAAGCCCTTCTTTTAGATTAGCAGTTACCTCGTTAAGATCAGAAAGTATGAAAAATGACCCAGAAGATACTGTTTAACTTACTTTCCTTCTGCTTTGCTTTTTTACCTTCCAAGGGCCAACCAGGTGTTGGGTTGAGCAAGTCGGGGTGCCCAGCTGTGCAGATAGAGAGTTGTGTAGGTGAAATGTGCTTGTAAGCCTGTAGAAGATGGCAGGGGCGAGCAGGCCGCTCCCTCCGCCGCTGCGTGTGCCGCTGAGGTGTGGGGAGGAGGGAGTAGCAGGAGGATGGAGAGGGTGCTGCTGCGGCTGCGGGAGGCCGGAGTCTGACTCGGCGCGGCCTTGGCTCTGCCCTCGCGGCCGTGTCTCCGCTGCGTCGTCTCTGGGCTGAAGAGAATGATTTTCCTCTTGAATCTCAACACTCCCCTAAAAGGGGAGAAGGGTGGAACAGGAGAATAATCTGGATTAGCAAAATCCCTGGAAGACTCAAGGCAGTCCATGTTTCAGTGGCTCGGCTGGTGCATTTGTGGCACGGGCTGCGTGCCGTCTGCCCAGGGGTGCCGTCTGCTGGGCAGGGGGAGGGTGTGGAGGTGACGGCGTTATTCTTTACGATCACGGGGTGGTTCCCTGCCTGCAGGCCGTCTGCTCTGCTGGGTGCTCTGAAGTCCTGGGGAGAGGTACAGTGTGAAGGGGGCTCCCGCTGCAGGTGGTCGTGGTGACCCCATCTCCGATATTCCTGGCCCGAAATAAACCCTGCAGCTGTTCTCTGCTGGAGAGAGGGCCCAGCAGTGTTGGGGATGGGCCGAGGGGTTGAACATCCTGCTCGGGTGCTCCAGCTATTCCAGGGTAGGAGGAGTCTGTAGAGCCAGTTGGAAGGTGGAACGCAAGGGCAGTCTTTGAGGTTTCACTGCCGAGGGATCGTAAGCTCCTGTGCAGAAACCGGTGTGCGGTGGGGTGAGCAGAGCGGTACCTGCTACCTTGACTGCTTGAAGTGTAGTTTTCAACTTGTCAGCTCTTGAGGGGAAAAAACCCCACAGGTCCCGTATCAGGAGGAACTGGCAGCTCTTGTAACAGAATAAGGTTGCAGGAGATCAGCGTATTTGAAGTGGGAGCAGATAGATACACAGCACTTAATGAACGGCATCCCTCACGTCCCGCCAGTTACTTGGCTCGTAGGTGCCATCAGCGCTGTGAACTCTTGACCCCGTGTCCTAAACTGGGTCCGTGGGAGTATGTCCTCTGACAGTGCACATGTCCTCTTCCCTTCCAGGACTGCATCCACCTCCGTGGAACAAGTGAGAGAACGAAGTTACCAGCGAGCTTTACTTCTCAGTGATCATAGGAAGGACAAGGACAGCGGTGAGTTGATGGACCGTGTGGAGCTGACCAGTGCCCCCGTGGCAGTCCATAACCATTCTGATGTTGTGTTTGGGTCTGCTTCATCTGTAGGGGGAGGGTCACCCTGCAGCCCATGCTCACCGTCTCGTGTGCAGTCTGCACCTTCATCTCATTCAAATCTCATTGCCCAGTTGCAGCTTAAGGTCCCTTCCACTGAACTGATGGAAGGTCAGGAAGTGGGTGACCTCCTATGACCCTTGACATGCTGAGTAGTCTCATCAGACAACCCCAATGGCTCTTCTAAAGGGGAATGTAAAGTGCTTAGTGATCTTGGCAAAGGATTTGATTGCCCCACGTTTATGCTGGTCTCTGATTTCTCCGTAGAACCTGATCCTGAAAACCCAGAGCCTGCTTCTGAGTGCCCGTCCCCAGATGCTTCACAGAAGACTTGCAAGAGTCCGTCAAAAGCAAGCAAGGTAACGCGCAGCGCCGGCGCCTCTGTGTGCGGGGTTGGTCGTGGAATTGTCCCGTGTGACGTGCTGCGTAGATGCCGTGTGCGCGTGACTGCTCGTGCGGCAGTTCGACACGGGTAGGCGTGTGAGGTGAGACTCGGTAGCCCGCACGTGCCAAAAAGCAGGTTTCTGCTCTGTTCTTTGGGGAGCTGTACCCAGCTTGCAGGCAATCTTGGGTTCTGTAGCCACAGAAGCGGTTGTTTCGGTGGAGTCGGT